AGCCCATGTATAGCACGTTATCAAAGCCGTTGACTATCAGGAGTTGGCCGTACTCTGAGAGGCCGATGCGGGCCAACCAGTCCTCCACCGACTGCTCCTCGAAGTCCGTCGACGACGAGTCTGTGGGAAATAGTAATGAGGGTAAAAATTATTGCATAAATAGTGTTGATTGGATTTGTGTTAAATTAATATAAAATTTTTTTTGTTATTGCTCTTCCAAAGATCCAAATTATAGTATAATATTAATTTACATTATACATTTTGGGTACTTTTATTTTATATTACAGTATAGAATTAAATTGAAATAATATGTTATTTTTTTATATTAATCGACTAAAATCCGTATTCTAAATATTATTTAATTAATTCCTATAAATAATTTTTTTTGGTTGTAAAATAACTTAGTAATAGATTAACACGTTTATTAAAAATATTAAATAAGTTGTCAATAATTTATCATGATAAATATTTGTAAAATGCACAAATATATCAACATCGCTCAAAAGCAATACTAACATAATATTAATTTATAAAACTAAAATTAATTTAATTAAAAAATTTTAATTAAATAAATAAGCGAAAATCTAGTCCTCTCCAAAATTATACTTTAAATTTAATTTTATAAATTATATATCTAAATTGTAGTTTATATCTACAGTCCACAAATATTATAAATTGCACAAACCTTTAGAGATACAACTGGTAAAACTGTTGTCCATATCTTCGCTGCCATTAGTGTTCAAATGATTGCCGAGACTACTGTCCCGTCCAATACCGGTGCCAAACGAGGCCATAATATTGGCGATCTCTGCCCACTCGGCCGTCTCATCAAAGGGACTGCCACTCAGACGACTACCGCCTACCGTCGCTATCGGGGCCGGTATAGGGGTAAAGCTGGACGTAGGTATGGGTGTAGGGGTCGAGCCGTTTGGCATTGTATTCAGACACTCGTCAAACGACGAGCTATTAGTCTTGGCGGCCATTTTCAACGCACCGGACCTACCGGTGCCGCCACTGGTGTCCATACTCTTGGACTTAGTCTGTTTTTTAACACGTTTTAATGTTGAATATATATTGGTGTCAATGTTTCGCTGTCGACGTAACGATTTCCGGCCCTCGATTGTGCCCTCCCGGCGCCGCACAGTTGACTGTTGGTTACCTCCGTTTACTGATCCACGACACAGACCTAGGTGAAAATGATTTTAAATATATTAATTTATTTTTATCATTAATTCATTGATATACTGTATGTAAAATATCTAAAATCTTGATATTAAAAAGCCATAACTTCTGGTATGCCAATTGATTTTAAATTGTGATGATTTATGTTATACATTTAAAATATAAATGGAAATATTTACGGTTTTATTCAGACCTTGCTAAAATGAATTTACACTTATACAAACTTATATATTCAAAACTGCATTAAACTTACAATACTGTTTAATGTAAAAATGAAAATGTTGTCATGTTTTAATATAAATTTAATATTTTTATTAATTTAATTTATTGATATTTACAGTTAAACCTCAGTAAGGGAAATCATGAAGTATGTGACAAAATTAAAACATTTTATTACTAACTAACTTAGCTAGAAATTATATGTTCAGCATGAAATTAATAATTGAAATAGACTGTACTAAATAGCTATAATAAGACCAAGGTTATATCTATTGAATGTCTCAAGAATTGACGGAAGACAAATTTAAAGAGAAATTTTAATAAAATTATTTTTGTTGTTTTAAACATGTTTTCAATATTAAAATCTATTTAATTAAATTTTAATATCTAAAAAATGTAAGATATTTCTATTCAACCACATTGGGTAATTTTATATTAATTTCGCTTTTAAAATAAATAAATGAATAATTTTTTATAATTTATATATTACGTGAAAGCAAACTATTATTTCAAGATTACTTTCAAAGCCAATGAACTTTTTAACGTTACTTATCTATTGTTTACAATTAGATTTTTATGTTTGAATTTATTTTACATTAATTAAATTGATAGTGAATTAGACAGGAAATTAAAAACTAAATTAACAGAGTAACAAAAAGGCTATATAAAACTTAATTAAATTTACCGTAATTAAAATCTGTGTTATATGGTGATAAAATAAAACTTGACTAACAATACCAATTATAATATCTAATAATAAAATTTTTAATAATCAGCTTGATAATAGAACTTTTATCATCAAGTGTGTAAATCCCATAAGCTCACATTTAGCATAATGATAAAATGGCATGCACCTGGTGCTTTTATTGCACACGTATGGCACATCAAACCAGACAATAAACCAGTGATAAAAATATCATTTAAATATATAATTTTATATAAAAAATTAAATACATAAAAATATAACAAGCTAAAAACACAACAATTAATTAACCAAGCTTAAATACCTGCAAATGGGTTCTCCTTTTCGCCCCTTCTGTCCAACTTTAAAGTCTCGCAATAATTATTATAAGTATTTTTCTTTTTATATTATTATTATTACAATTATCACTATTATTATTATTACTATGATTATGATTAACACGATTATTATAATGATCAAAATTGCTATAACTATTACTATGTTGAGTCTTATTAAGTGCCAGATCTGAATCGGTGCTCACGGCTACCGATCGCTTGTCCGACTTGTTATGAAGACTGGCCGGCGTTTTGCACCGGAAGCTGAGCCGTACGTAACCGCTAGAGTCGAGCGCTGCGAACAACTCCTCTTCGGTCAGCGTTTCGATGTCTCGCCGTTGGGAACAGTGATTACCGACCGGTGCTGTCGACGACTGGCCGTTGAATTTCTTATATTCCTATAGTATTAATATTTACAGTAATTAAACACATGATAAAACAATAGAAATATTAATATATAGTGTAATAGTTATATTATCTGTGATCTATAAACAATATGTGTTACTATCATCCATAGGGTTAGCATTAGAGTGAATGCTATCAATGAAATTACAACTGAGAAACGAGTTGTGATTTTTGATGTTTTTCAAAATCAAGTTTTTCATTGAAATCACGTAATGTTTCGCAATGTTTTCCCAGAAATTTTCCGTATAATTAGTTATAAAAACATTGCTTTAATACCTATTGGGCCGGAAATTACTAGTCATACACACGGTATGTATGGTTAAAGTAATCTCATGCCGAGCGCAAAGTTACTGGTATCCCAAAACGATAGTATGTTGTATAATGAACTACTCTTATGTATACATATTATGGTTATTTTAATAGGTATTTCATTTATATAAACATTATAACTTATTCATACATCTATTTATCACGTATTTCTATTGCAACGCTCAATAAATCAATGAATATAAATTTAAATATTATACACAAACCTCAGATATTTGCTGTATTTATAAGACTTATATATTTAACTTATGAATAATATTTTTCATATACTTTATTATGGCATACAAAATGATAGCACATATCATGTGATCACTGATTATAACATATAATAAAACATTTATTAACACAAAGAGATTTTTTGTTTATTTAATTTATACCATGTTTTCTTATATCACATACGAATAGCTTATGATATAATCTGCAATATAAGTGAAATAAAGACTATTTGTTATTTTGCGGAAATATATGTGAGAATAACATTTAGCGATAACCACATGGTTAGTTAATAGTGGCGGTAACCAAGGTGATTTAATAAATATTTTGAATATACATAAGCAAAATTTATAATAAATAATTTATAACCATATGTATTATCTATAAAATAGTATTTTATTGCTAAGTTACCATATGGTAAAGTGAATATTGTATATGTAAACAATCTCGGGTAAATTATTAAAAACTAATATGATTTAGACTATTTAACCATACTCTAAATACCTCCCGACTATTTATTATGTATATTCAATTACGTTAAGTAAAGGAATATTTTATTTATTTAATACGTGATAAAATTGAATATTTGATATGAAATGTGTAAAAAATAAAAACAAATTTTCCCATTAACTCATGGGAACAAAATTAAATATATTTTTACTGTATATACCGTGCCATTAAATTACATTCTACATACTACTCTCAATATTAGATTTAATTAATTAATAGATTTAATTATATAAATTATAATGATATTTTTAAAGTAAATTATATTTAGTATTATTAGAAAATGACCATAGATAAAATATTTGGTGTCACAGTCTTAAATAATATATTAAAGTTATTATATTTAAAATATAAACAAACGTACATGATGATCACAAATTTAATATTATTTTTAAAAATATAATAAAATAAAGTAAAAGATAATTTAACCTTCGATGGTGTTCGTACCATTATTTAATATTTTTTAAAACAATAACTTAATAAAAATAAGCATTTCATTAATATTTACAGTATGTAAGCTAAAATTAAACCAATAAAATAAACAAAATAAAATAGCAATAAAACAAACTAAAAAACAAAACTTACCAAGCAATCAGTCTCACGAGCAGTGGGAGCATAAAAATCAGTCACTAAATCATCATGACAATCACAGTCACCATGCACATCATTCAAAGCATTGTGATTATAATCAGCGCAATAAAACTTAAAATAACTTTCGTTATAATTATTATTGGTGTTTGACGTGCGCTTCATATATGACTGGTAGGGGTCGCCCACCATAGGCACGGGTGGGCTCGAGGAGGCGCTGGTAGTGCCGGAACTGGTGGTCATGTCAGAGGAGGCGGAGGAGCTCGAGGTGGGGGAGGCGGAGGAGTGGGCGGCCTTAGCGTAGCAGCATTTGTAATGATATGTGCCGGCCTTTGTGTGTGTATAGCCATTCGCCAAATTGTATTGCGTTTGCAAAATTATAATGGGCAAATTAAAATAAGAATGCAAAATAAAATAAATAAATTTGATTAAAATAAAATAAAGCATAAAAATGTGCAACAATAAAAATAATATTTTACAAAAATTATATGTTTATCATAGCATTATAAAATTTATTATAATTTAATTGTATTTATGCAACAAAATAAATAGCGCCATAAATACAAAAATATACACATTACTGTTTTAAATGTGAGTTTTAATTAGTTTACAAATTGTGTAAAATGCGCTTTAATACATTGTTACTAATTATTAGCTATTAACTTATTAACTATTTAACTGAATTACCGTAATAATAAACTAAAAACAAATTATTATAACTTATAAAATAATTATGCTGTATATCTAATTCATAAAAATATATTATATTTTGCCATTTCCAAAGAATAAATAACTTAATGTTTTATATAAGTTTTTAAAGATTTTAAAATAAACTTTACAGTATCTCCAATAATACTTGCTCCAATAATAAGTGCTAGAAACGTTTCATAAAAATAAACTAGTATATTAATTTTAAAAATTTCATTAATACACTGCAATTATTATAATTGTACTTTTTAAAAATGTAATCTAAATCTGAATTAATGTTCATCTAGATGTTATAGAGTAAATCTAGCTTATATATTAGACAAATTATGAATATATAAATTCTAATAACTAGCTATATTTTTAGTGCAAATTATGCAGTATAAATCCAAAATATTTTAGACTTTTTATAATAATTTATTTACACTTATAAAAATAATCATAGTTAAAATAAATAATCAATATTACCAAAATTAAAAATAACAATAACTTGCATAATAATTACAAATTAAATTCTGACAAAATTACAGCTTAAAAACACCATAATAAAAAACAACAAACTTCACACATACCTGACTCAACGGCTGTATAATGGCTTGAATACCATTCAGGGCAGTCGTAGGACTGGGCGGCTCGTAATCGGGCGTTGTCTGGCCATTACAGGGCCGGCGGGTAATTACGACCGGTGCCAGGCCTACATCGGGACTGGTAGGACACTGAACGGGCAATTGTACGGTGGCCCTTTTATTGCGCTTGTTCACTTTGGCATAGAGCGCCTCCACATTATTATTATAACCATTATTATAATTATGGTAAACAATATTATTATGATTATTGGCTTTCAACGTGCTATCATCGTCGGTAAACTGATCCGAATAGTGTCTATTAGCGGGGGTGCGCTGTATTTCGGACTTTGATCGGCTATATGTGCCCAATTGGGGTGGGGCTGTGCGCCGGTCTCTACCGGCGCCGTTGCCGGTGGTTCCGCCACTGCTCGCCGGCCGGTGCAGTGATGTGGTCAATACGGCCGACCCATTGGCGATCTGGTCATATAGTAGCGAGAAATCTGTTTCCTCCATAAGCCGCCGGTGGGTAGTGTCTGGGATGGGATAAATATAAGATGGTTAGTTTAGTTGTGTTTTTTATAAATAAGATGATAAAAATGTAATTTTGTTTGATCAACATGATTCTATAATTAATTTGTAAAAATAAAATTAATTTGCTCGAGTCGGCATTTCCCAATAATATTATTTTATTTATATGCATGTATTATATGGTATTATAAATTATATTTGCATTACAGTTTAGTAAATTTTTAATTCAAATCTCTCTCTCTCTCTCTCTCTCTCTCTCTCTCTCTCTCTC